ATAACTTACTTTCAATTTCATTCTTACATCTGACATGTGAATTACTGTGAGATCTCATGTATTCATCAACTGACAATATTAAACTTTTTTATTTTTCTTAGTTGCTTTTGATTTGTGAATAAATAATTGCACTAATTACTTATTATGCTAAAACAAAATTTTATCCCAGAAGTATAAATACTTTGCAAACGACGTTGGACCAATTTAGCAAAACACATTTTGTATTAAAATGATAAAAATGTTTGTTGTATTCAAATTATATTAATAAGTAATAGACTGAAAATATGTATGTATAGTTACCAGTCTGGGCATTGCAATTGTTAGAGTTCTAGGTATATGCTTATCATACAAGTAATCGTAGAGGGAATGGATTATAGTTGTGCTCCAATGAATTTTCGGATATAAACTGAACATTCCATCTATCTTTGTATATTCTGCACAATCTTGCCATTCTAAGGATTCTACGGCACCGAATGAGAACGCTTTATCAAAGAATTTTATTGTTGGGTCATTGTTCTCGTACAACTAAAAATTGGATTAATTTGCATGAGCCTTTGCTATTCAACTCTAAGCTAATTATATAATTTAACGTCTTTTAGGATTACACTGAATGTATAGTATAGTTGGTGTTTCGTTAAAATTGCTAAAATTATTATTCACTGATATCGTGTTATCATTTTGAAAATAATAATAGCTGCTTCTAGTGAACTGATAAGCAATATTATATATTGTATTTAAATTTTAATTAGAAGTTTTATAAGTATTTATTCAACAATTTTTAAAGCTAAAATCTACCTCAAATTCGTCATTCAACAGATTTATTGTTATGTTACGACTAGTGTAATCAACGAGAGCAAAATGATCTTTCTTTGACTTCTTAATTTTGTAAGATGAAATGAACGTCGTCTTATTCAAGCAACATGGATCGCTGTAAGCAGATTCTTTTTGCACAGTAAAAGTTCGTGGTTGATTAGCAGTCATTAAAATATGGTAGCAAATAATATCAGCATATTCTACTGTTGCTTAACACTTGCCCTTACGTGAATAAAAAGACTTACGAGCAACCAGGTCCAACAACCCACGACGATGGTAACAGTGTATCAATCAGCAGTGTGTACTCTTGTAATTTAGGACCGATTCTGGCTTTTACACTATATCCAACATGGTTCTGAATCAAAACATGTCGTCAATTAATACAACAAATGATAAATTAAAGAAAGTAGTTAGTTAATTAGCTTTTACAAGCTGACCTTTTACGTAACTTACTTGACTTTCACCGTAGACAGGGTGTAGTGGTATTTGATATACTTTGCTCGTGCATGATATACTTATTAAAATGAGAAGTGATATCTCCGTCAGAAGATACTGAAGCATTCCTTAAAAAGTGCTAAAATGAGAGTGTAAATCAAAAAATGGTATCAACTTTGATAACTTCGATAGCAGCAAATGTCAACTTTTGATCTTAGTTTTATTACAAATATTTTAAATTAAAAAAATTGTGTAAAGCAACGTCGTATTCCAAGGCAATGTGTGCTTCGACCTGAAATGGCAAACAAACATTTGAAGCGTCAAATTCAAATATTCAACTAAACAACTTTATGCTTACTTACAATTACTATTTGTAAACTCACATTTTTTCATCCAGTACAACAAAGCTTGCATAATTTTATTGCAAAAAAGCAGTGTTTGTTTTACTCTATTTCCTTTGACTAATACTACACACATTTTCTATTCATAAAAAAATATTTGATTAATTAGAGTAGCTTGTGATCTATAATCGAATAATATGCATGTTTGAGAATGTATTGCTAGAACGTGATGTGTAAAATGTTAGAAAGTCTGGCAAAGTATGCTAAAAATTGGAAGCAGAATTGTTCTTCCAAAAAAAATGAATGGGCGTATCACTACGCATACTTACGTGTGTTGCATAAGTCAAAAAAAAACTGTCATCCTACTTAATTATTGTAATATTTTGCAGTCAGACTGTTGTGCCATATATAGAAAATGCAATAAATTCAAGTTAATCTCAAATTTATTACTATAATTTTTTAAACTGAAATGAAAATAACGAAATAATATCAATTGCATACCATAATTAAGATTTATTTAGGTACTAATACTAACACACAAAATATACTCATTGCCATAATACTGCTATGAGTTTTTCTAATGGAAATAACAGTTGTTAATTGGCATAAATTTCAATTCACAAATTAATAAAGCATTGATATGAACAAAATCTTTGGAAATATATCTAACAATTATGCTTTAGTTTTTAATTTTTCGTTTAATTTAGAGATTAAAACAAATACAATATTTTGTCTATTGTAAGAAATGCCCTAAATTTATAAGACATATTCTAAATGAAATTAAAATCTTTGAATGCATTATTTTTGTTTTATAATTTACTATTAGCATTACAAGTTATTCAATAATTAATTAAGTAGTAAGAGGTTATTTAAATTGCTTTTTCAATGTATTCTACAGTTTTTTGCGCGATATTCAGTTTCCGCTTCATTTCTGCAAACTTTTCAAGTTCACTGCGTACAGGTTTGCATGTTTCATTCAAATCTCCTTTGGAAATTAATCGTCCGTACAGAACTGAACGAGTTCCGGTTGACCGTTCGTTGTATTGGTAACTTTAAAAGATGATATTTTTCAAAACATATGAGTGTTTGTTTGCTTAATCTAAAATCAAAGATAATTTATGGATAAAAAACATTCAATTATAATATATAATTAATTAGCATAAAATTAAGTTAATCTAATTGATCTACTTGCGTATATTTTTTCACTCTCACTAATATAACATTATTGAATTTTATGTTAATTAATTTGTAAAGTTAAATTTGGTATTATTGTCTGAGGAATTGAATATCCAGATGATATTTATATTTTTTTGATGTGAAACGAAATTTCTACTAGTATTCAAGTAATGTCCAAAATTTAACAAACAAAATCCTAAGGAAATATTTGACAATCATTTTTTCACGATTTACGAGTGGTTTTATTTTTTACAATATCAATTTTTGTGTTACCAAAAATGGAATAAATTCTTCAACATAAAAGTTTTACAATAATAATGACAATAATAATAATTATTATTATTATTATAATTAAATTAGTTATTGATTAACCTTCATGATTAATAAAATAAATTACCAAAAGTTACTTACTAAAATTGATCTTCGTGAAGTTGCACAATAACAGATCTCACTGCAATTTTCAGCTCTTTTAGTCCCGAAATCTTTGGTAATACTAATATTTTCACAAGGTAATCTAACGGCAATTCTGCCCATCTCTGAAAATATAGTTTTCTGCTTAATTAGATAAAAATTAAACGTTTTGCTTCAGAACATTGAAAACTTTCCCACATTAATAGATTAATAATTTGTCTAAGACTGAATAGTTAGCTTTGCCTAAGACTGAATAATTAGCTTTGACTAAGGCTGAATAATTAGCTTTGACTAAGACTGAATAATTATAAATTAGTGTAAAAAGCAATTATCTATTATTGAGCGCTTTGATTTACATTTTAGTAAAAGATAAAATCTTCAAGACTTTCACTGTCACAAATTATTAATCGAAAATATAGCAGCCAGAATTTATTATTATTATTATTATATTTTTAATTTAATTTTAAAAATAATAATAATTATATTCTCAAATTGAATTGATTAATAGTAAAAAGCACAAAAAAACAAAATTTTAATAAAAGTAATATATCATAAATTCCAATTTTATAAATTTTTTTTCTGCGTAATTTTCATTGCATAAATTGTCAATTTGATCAGTTTAAGGGGTTAAATGTATAAAATCATTAATATACTCAAAATATTAATATAACCTCATAAATAACACGTAAAAGGTGATTAGCAATGCTTTCCATAGCTATATCCATGTTGATCGGTTTAAAGAGATAAACCAGTTCAATCACATTGCACATTTCATGAATATCCTCACACATCTTACAGTTATACTTATTATGAAGCGATAAACAAAGAGCCTAAAATAAAACTATGAGAAATGAACTCATAAAAGATAATCATATTTGCTTGATTCATATTTCTTGAATAATATTATAGCTGATATTGTTATCATTCAAAATAATAATATCGATGTGTCTAACTAATCAACCAGTACCAATTACATTAACCAAGGAGTACCAACCAAATACCAACCAATATTTTGTTAAATAAAGTCGTAATAAAAACAGGCATACAGTTGAATTCTATTATATCGTAAAGCATATTATATATAATATATTTACTCTTATTTTATTAATAATTAAGAAATAAACAAAGAAAAAGTACTCATAAAAGTTTGTCAAATATGCTTGATTATTATTAATTATTAACCTTTTACATTTAAATAAATAAAAGCATGATAGCTATCACACGTTAAAAGTGATATATTACATGCTACAGTGCATATCAAAACTTTAAAAGTTATAAATTAAACTTTATTGTTAGCAACAAATTATTAAAAAAATACAACTCCTAGCGAGTGTATTTTATTTTCCAAAATGTCCATTACACTGACCTTTTTAACAATCCTTCCAATAACAAATATTGGATTTAGTATAAGTTAAGGTAATGTAACTCAATCTGAAAGTCTTGTAACTTACATTCGCAACTGTTTCATGTGAATAATCCAGTCTTACTTCCATAATTTTAGGATTGTCATCGATCAACTGATGGAAGTATTTAGTGCCCATATACAGTATCCACTTGGAATACATAACGGAATATTTTGTCGTAGTTTTTATCTCAAAATCTCTATAATTAATTGTCATGAAATAAAATTTATTACTTCAAGTATTTAATTTGCATTTTATTTATAAAAACAATCAAAAATACTGACTTAATAATAAAAACTGTAAATAAAAGTACTGTAATGTGAATAATTACAATATACCCTGTTATTTGAAAGTCTTGAGAATTATTAAGTCAATATTATATATATACTTTTTTATGTAGATTTTTTTTACATTTTTTTTTAATGTTTTAATAATTGCAATAAGATATTTGGAGAAATTCGATAAACTAAAAAACTTACTGATGGCACAAAGCAAGATCTTGAGAACGCACATGTTCATCTACAGTTAATGATCGAAGTCTGTTAATCCATCCACTAAATTCCAAGAAGCTGTTTATTTCGTATCCAATAATTATATTAATACCAATAAAAGTTTCCTTGTAAATATTTGATTCCGTATTTGCTAATGACTGTAAGAATTGGTCATCGCCATATATTACATATGTTGAAGTAAATTGTGTTGTTCTTGTTTCATGCAGAATTTCTATAAAATTTTCTCAAATACACTGACTTTTTTTAAATAATTATTTTGAATTTTCAATGTATTTCATGGACGCCAGCCACCATATGCAACTAATTAAGGTAACTTAGAGTAAAACTAGCTAAATATTAGTCTAGGTTCTCAGTTCACATCCAATCGGATAGACCAAGTTCTAAATTACTTTATGTAGAAGTAATGACTGAACTAATTTATTAATTGAATACTTAAATGCTTAAAAGTTAACTTTTATATTTGATGTAATGATGTGAATAAGCAAAAGTTAAGACAATCCTCACAATACTATGCTAAAAATGCAACTATTGCAACATTTATAAAATTAATTTTAGTTTTTTATTTGCTAAAACTAAACTAATTACTTATGACAATTATTAATTAAATTACAGATTGCTAATTACTTACTTGTTGTTTTTGAAGTACTCATTCAATGAAATAATTTCATTTGTTAATAAAACTTTCAGTTTATGTGTTAATTTTGTTAGTATACTAATTTCTGTTACATAATAACTTGTTTATAATAAAATATCATTATCATTTGATTAGAATAATCTCACTTTCGATGTGCATAAAACATACAAAAGTTAACTTATAATTTTCACACGAAAATTATCTCTTAGAATGAAATAAAACTTTGAAAACATCTATCTTCTACATGACCTATTTTAAGTTCATGACCTTTTTAAGTTTATGACCTAATGAAGTTTGAAGTAAAAAACAAAGTATAAATTATACCTGCCCAATCTTCTGAAGATTTTATCGTAAAAAAGCGTATACAAATTAATCCCGTAAGTTCTTTCCGAATATCTGTGAGACAAATAATTTGTAGTAATGGATCAGTTTCATGAAATTCTTGCAAACAAATTCTGAACTGCCTGAAAAACTTGAAATGAAATTCGAAAAAGCAAAAAAAAAAATGAATGAATGGTTGCCATTTTAAGTTAAGTAATTCATTACTGAATTTTAAATTGTTAATATAAATAAAAATAAAATCAGTTCTCTTAAAGAGACCGAAATAAAATTCATCCTTTTTATCTATTTTTGCCATAATTTGAACTATAAGCACTATTAATCGATATAATTTTAATATACTTAATTTAAATTTTATTTAGGTAATTTAGAAATATCATTTGATCATAAGTTTAATAAAATTTTGCATTATTATGCAGTAATTTCATTTCAACAATTTCTAAAGAGTAAAGAAGAAATGATTGGTAACCGTAAATTTCAATTTTCTATGTGATTAAAAAAACGTGTTGATAGCAAGTTAAACTGACTTACAAATCAATAACACGTGGCCCGTGAGCAATAGGAAAAGTTGTTAGATATCCACTGCGTAAATATTCCGTCAGCACTTTTATTTTGGTATCGAAAATTAAACGTGACGGTGTGCTGACTGTTTTTTTCGAACTTTCTTCCGATGATAATTCACTAATCATATTTTTTGCAGAAAGAATAAATAATGCCAAATAAATCAAAATACTTGTTAAAATGAGAAATTAATTTTGTTCACTCATTTTAAGTAGCAGTTTTCGTACGACTTATTTTGAATTTAATTAGAATTAATTAGAGAAATTTACATATATAATAATTCAATATTGTATCAGAAGGCTGTGAAGAAAGATAGAGTCATTGGGTTTAGTTATTGGCTTGACATAATGACCTCTACCATACTCATGCAGTATTTCAATGATGTTAAAACTGGTAATTAATCTTGCTTTATTGCTAATTTTGCATATCTCGCGCAGATAGTATATCCTTACTAATCCTATATTAAACATCCCCAGGTCATTCTATGCTCTACATCCCCAGGTCCATTCTATGCTCTACATCCCCAGGTCATTCTATGCTCTACATCCCCAGGTCATTCTATGCTCTACACTTCCAGGCCACAGCAAATTTAGCAGTCATCATCTAGAACATAATTTCAGGAGGTCATAAATGTGAAATGAACTCAGTTGGATTAGTGTACTAACTTTAGGTTTTTCGAAGTAGTTAAACTCTTCGATAAACTTTACATCTGAAAAATAAATAAATAATCATTACTGTGATCTAAAAATCATTGCAGTTTTATTTGTTTACTCACTTTTCAGTTTGCCTTTATTTGAGTAACTTGTTATCACATAACACACCAGCGATTTAACCTTTGAACTTTTAGTTTAATGCTTACTCGTATGAAGGAAGGATATTGAGCAGTTCTTTCCACATCTACAATTTAGACATGCTTTATCCTCGCAATCTCCCTCTATATCTAAATCATCTATGACCTCTGAACTCGTCACAACTAACTGATTTCTATGTCAGTGTAGTGATAAACTGCATTTCACTCACCCCTTCCTCAATATATGTCTGCAACGCTCTTATATCTAAACCCTAAACGATCGATGGCTCATTGGGCAGTGTGTGCGTATGCGTGCATGTGCGTCTGCGTATATGCGCGTTTGCGTATGTGTGTGCAATGCATGGATCTACGTATGCTTGTACGTGAAATATTTCACCATGAGATATCTTTGACACTCTAAACTAAAAGCCTTGCATGAATCGAATAGTTGTGAGTACTTGCGTGTTTCACTTTTCTAATGTCTTTTATTTTTATTGCAATTTAAGACTAAATGGATTTAGTTAAAAACTTATAAGCATGATTATTACACAGTTTACGTGAAAATATTTGACATCTTTCATCCAAAAAAGATTTTAGATATTGGTAAGAGCAAAACTCTTTTGACTGGTGCATTGCAGCACTTGATACTGTTTATGATTCCTTCTTGTAAAATGCTTTGTTCCACATAAACAGCCTTAGATTTTAGTGAAATGTTATATTGGCTTACGTGAATACAATGGACAGTTCAGTACATCAAAATAATAAGATTACGTGAATGAAGTTGATAGAAATTAAAGAAATTACAAGGTATTTATTATGTTTTGAGAAATGAATATTGAATTTTAAAAAGGATATTGATTACATAATGATAGTTTCGGGTATTTATTGCACATTTTGTTTCACATGTAACATCAGTTGATTGATTTTTTAGAATTGATTCGATCAGTTGATCTCGTAGTTTTGCATTATTGATCTTCAAATATTCAGAACAATGTATTTTTTAGGAACGTGGCAGTCTGCCACTGGGTATAAAATGGATGAAGAGGAGGATGGCAAACAAATCCGAGAAAAGGTGGAAAAATATATGCGAATGTTAAATAATGATAGTAAAGTAAGTGGTATTGCGTTCTAAATATCCTGCGAACGATATTATCCACTTCTTGTTTAGAAACTGAGCAACTTCTCATAAATGAGTAATCACTGTTTTGGATCTGTTAATGTCTCATAGTTATTTCAACGTATAATTTCATATATTTATGAAGCTATGAAAGCATTAAAATGGTGTTGAATAAATGCTTGTGATATATTTTGTAGATTGGTCATGCCTTGCGGCGTTTGGCAACTGTTGACATGACGTTAGAATTATTATCAGAAACAGGAGTAGGCAAAGCAGTGAATCAACTAAGAAATCACGAACAGTATGGTGAAAAAGCACTGAAAATTGTTGAAAAGTGGAAAGATATGGCACGAAGCTATGGTCTGAAACAACGAAGGTTTTAAATAGTGTTTTTGTATTGGGAGGGAGACACAGAAAAATTGTTTGAATAAAACTTGTACAAAATAAAAGACTTATTAAAAAATCGTGTTATTTTAGGAGACGATCAGTATCACCAACTTCGGAACAGGCAAGTTCATCAAAAAAAATGGCGAAAGAAAAACGGAAGGAGAAGAAGGAAAATAATGTTTGTGAAAGTACTTGTATGGAAGTAGTTCGTAATGGTAAAGAAAAGGTATGCTATTTGGTTTGGGCTTAGTCACACTTTTCTTTCAAATTCAGGTGTTTGGATTAATAATATCATAGCAGTAACTCATAATTGAGTAACAGAAGTTTTAGTTTTTAAATTGCGTTACAAAATTGAGTTTTTCAGTTATCAAACAATGAAATCGAGAACGTATGTTCAGGCTTGAGTTTTGCTGATATGTTAGCACGAGCAGATACTGCTAAACCTTTCAAACCGAAAAGAATGAAAGCAGACTGTAATGAATGGAAGTCTTGCAAAGTAGATATTAATTATAGGCCCTCAAAAGTACTGAATTTTGAACCTACACCAAAAGAGCACCGTCCAAGTATGTTTTTTTTGTAATTTCTACCACTTTGAAAATATGCAAATCATTACAAATTATTTGGAAACATTTCATTCATCGTTTATATAATGAAGAAAACATTTATTATATTATGCAAACTTTCTTTTAATTGATAACCGTATGAGTTTGAGCTGCCGATATGTTTGTTTAAAAATTCTCTTTCCTGTCGGCCACGACAGTAATATAAGCAAGTTAATTCTAAAGTTGATTAAGTTATTTGGCTCATCTCATAGCTAGTCATTGTTTGTTATTAATTGCAATAAATAAATACTTTTCAGCTATATCTGAAGCAGCCTCGATGGATGCTGCAATGTTCAAACCTCGTAAATCAGTACGTAAGATTTATGCTGGCAGATCAAGAGTTGATGGCCTGAGGGAAGTACCAACGTTGCAAAACATATGTATTAAATTATTGATAGCTAACATTGATGGTAATTTTTACTAGCTTTTGCAAGCTCTTGTGACTTTTGGCAACTGAAAAACTCAGTTTAGAGATGGATTAACAAATTAAAGTTTTCTCAGTTGCATTCAGTCGACATTAATTTTCCAATATTTAGAATTTCTTTTGTTGATAATTAATTGTTCGATGAATAATCTGCAGTAATCTAATTTTTCACGTTCTCCCATTTGTCAGTACTCTTTCTTATATACATATATAACATTTCCTATATTTATGGGTTTCGCACTGTTACTCTACTTGAGATTTGATTCTTCTAATCAATATTGAATTCTAATTTTGCTTCAGCCATTGAAGAAGTTGGTGATACGCCATACTTTTTATTGAAACCAGTGCTTGAAAAATGCTCACTAAATCAATTGTGCTCAATCGAAAGGCGTAATCCAGTGAGTGACATTCAGTAGATGAAGTATTAATTTCTATTTTTAGGATGCATATATTTTCATGTAAGATTCAAGCAAGACATTTTTACCTGCTAAAATTGCATTATTTGAAATTAATCACATTCGATATGAACAAATCATTAGTTGTAGTTTGTTTTCCTTTTCCGAAATGCATTTTTGGCTTCTTTCGTTTTTACTGCAAATTATTCTCGGTGGAACTTCCTTAACTTATATTTAGCTTAGTATGTTGTCTGTTTCTGGCTTAGAAGTTTGTTATATTTTGATCATCTTTTAGCAACTAATGGAAGATACTGATGAATTATGGGAAAAATTTGTTAATCGAACTTTTCCGAAGTACGAAACAAAAGATGATGAAACGTGGAGAGAGTGTTATCATGTAAGTGCATGCATTTAATGCATAGAGTTTCAATAGAATCATGAGCAGTCAATTTATATGTAATTATTTGACCCAATGCTAAATGTGATCATTTTTAAGCGCATATGTAATGAAAATGACCGCAAATTGAAGATGCTTTCATCTAAAATAACTCAACATAATAAACAAACATCTGCACCAGTAAAAACAGCTCTTCTTGCGGATGCAAAAGCCCCTCGTGAAGTTCGTCGTCGTCAAATGCGCTACGGTACTCAAAATAATAATTGTCCGCTGCCATCTGCTAGTGAGATATCTAAAGCTCGCAAGGATATTTTTGATAAAGGTAAATTGTTCTGACTTACTAAAGCTTTATCTTTTCACACCTTCCATATTTTAAGGAGCAAATGTATTTAAATTTTGACATTTGCTCACAGAACTACTGCATCAGTTTTGATATAAAATACAGTTTGTTATTCATTTATATACTCTTTTTTTTCTAAATATTTCAGGTAGCAAAGAAGCACTAGCAAGTTTACCCCACTCAGTTAGAAACATAAATTCTCCATTAGGCTCGCATTTGGAAAAGAAAACGCTACCAAAGAAGGGAGCTTTAATGATAAAAACATTGAAAATGCTAAAAGGAAAGCGTAGATAATTCAAATACTTGATTTGACAAATGCAAGTCTTTTTAACTACGAGAATTGAACGAAGCAGTCGAAAACGCAATTGCCATCAATGATTGATGTAACGAATTAAACTTTCAAATTTCAATTAATCTGTTTAGCATTGAATCGTTATCATAATGTCTGAGACAGATGATCCCGTATTTCTTATTTGATAGGTTTGGGATTTGAGAATTAAATCTTTATTTTTTATGATGCTTGCTAGTAGACTACATTTAAAATAGGTGCTTTTATTCTGCGTATTTTTTGATTTACTGTGATCAGTTAATGTCTGCTCAGTTTTGTACTTGAGTTTATTACTGAAATTCAAATTTCAAGAAAATATTTTTATGTTAACGTAGCCCAGTTTTATTTTGTTATTCAGCACTTAAAAATTGCTGCTTTAACTTTATTTATTTCTTAGAGTCTTCTGTAGTGTGTCATGTTTTCGTACAATTTTTTGTTAGGGATATTTTTTAAAAAACGAATCGCATGTAAGTATGTCATCACACAGAGGTGCGAGTATTTCACCTACATTTGTTTTGAAAATTTTTGGCTGTGTTTATTGCTTCAATATGTACATGGAAAAGGAAGTATTGTAAGAAGTGAAAGTTCAATGTCTTTTTCTGTAGTCTTTCATTATTGATTTGAAGTACTACTGATATAAAAATATAAATTTATTAGTTTTTATTATTTATTCAAATGTGGTGTTGGTCATTATACTCTGTATTTGCTTACTTTATTGGGTATTTATACTTTGCGAATTTCAAACATATTGGATTTATTTTGTTTCAGAGGATGAAATAGGTTTATTTCAATTACTTTTTCTCCATCTAATTAGATTTAACTGAAGATAAAAATATGTGATAGTATTTGTTCATTATAATGATGAATAAACATAATAGATCTATTGCTGTTATTTAATAATCTTTTGGAATTTCCATTACAGTTATTTTATTGTAAATTATTTTTTAATCTACTTCAATTATCATTTTGGAGATATGATTTTCGGGAGTGAGTTGTAGTTCGTATTATTTAATTGGTTTTGGGGTGTTTTTGTTCTGATTGTTGATCTCGAGAAGTAGCGTGTGATGATAAGTTATTGATCTCGAAGAGTAATATGTGTCAGTGGATTTTATTAACTTCATAAATGATAATGTAGTAAGTACTATGTGGTTAAGTATCGAGTGTTGCCGTGCACTGTAATTATTCAGGTAAATGGTGAGGGGGTGATACGTTGTTCTGAAAATGAGCAGAAAATTTTATCATTTTCATCTCTACCTGAGTTTGAATGATATAGTTTCATGAAAATTTCATTTCGCATTAGAAATGCCAAATTAAAAGCTGGTTTTGTATTTACAAGTAGATTTTTGTTTCATCCGTTTCTAGGAATGTATAAGGACATTTAGAAAGAAATATTTCGTTGAACATATGTTTTTCTAAAGAGTTTGATGTGCATGGACACGCACATAGTTTTAGATCTTTGAATCATTTTAAGGTACAATGCCCTAAATAAATTTTATTTTCAGAATCACGTTTGAAAAGTAATATTTTCATCTATTTATCAGCAGCAGTTTATTTGATTCATATTTTGTGTCTCGTCACAATTATCTATTCCTAGGTTGGTTCATTTCATCTACAGGCTCTCTGATCTTTGGCTGATTCTACAGGTTTGTTTTCCGAAATTAGAATTGCCATTATCTCAGTCCGGTTAATTAGAAAGCTCATTACCCAACGTTTATTACAGATATGAATGGTCATTATCGAAATGGACCACGTTTTGATCGTATCGACCAAGAGGAAGTTCCTGAAAGCAAGCACACCGTATTTATTAGAGGCATCCCTGGACATATTAAAACAGATGAAGTAAAGTAGGTCTTTCTCCACATCTCGTCTCAAAATGGAAGCCTGAGGAATATTTGGCTACTCTATGCAAATTTTCCCCAGGCATCTACTAAAGGATTGAGAAACATCCCAAATGAGAAATCAGCCTTTCATAAAAAGTGGTAGAAAATGCCTTTTGCATCAAAAATTGTATCATCATGGGGACAGTTGGAAAACTTTCTACTGCTCAAATAAGTCAGTGGATCTGAGTGCTTTGGAGTTCTTCTTGTGTTCTTCTTTTCATGTCTTCCTGTTTGAGTGGGATTTTGAGGTGAAAAAGGTAATCAATAGATCAAAATGCTGATATTATTACAGGCGAACTTTAAATTTTGTGTTATCTTGAAATACTTGTATATGTACTTCCACTCTTATTTTTGGAACGATAAGGCGGAATTCTTGTGGTTCATTTGAATGAATTATTATACATACAGCAACATTTTCACCGAATCTTACACTCTTGGCTGAATTTTGTTTGTGGAGAAATACACATTCTGCTGCCGCAGTTACCATGTTTACTTTGAGTAGGGGATTTGCAAAATGTCACTTTATTCTCTTGGTTATTATTACTCTTGTTACATTATCGATTTGGACTGAGGTAAGTAAAACGAATTGAAGAAAGGAGTTTGTAATGTAGTTTATTTAGTTTTCAGAAACATAAATTTTTTAAATTGAAGTATGTTTTCATTTCATTCAGGTTTTGTTTTTTTCAGGGATTTTTTTGAAGATCATGTTGGACCATGTTCATTCGATTTTATCAAGCTATCGCAAGACCAGCAGAAATTATTTGTGGCGGTACGTTTTGAAACACGTGATGCCGCAAAAGAATGTATGCACAAGTATGTTTTTCTTTGTTCTGGCAAAAAATGTTATATCACTTTTGAATTTCAATCAAGCTGATAATTAAAACTTTAAAGTAAGATGCTTTTATTTTTTAACTTTCAGTCTTGCTTTAAAGAAAAATTTAAGATACAAAGATGGTGACGTTCTTGGTTATCCGGTTGAAATGACATGGTTTCGGGACATACGCCGTTATGTATCTTATCAACAAAGTCAGGGTATAAATGCATTTTTTAAAATAAATGAGATAATAAATTGGTTTTCACACACATCGTTTTTGTCTGTTATTATACTGATATACTATTGCTCACATAACTTATTTTTCAGGACTTAGACCTCCCAAAGTTCATCGTAATCGAAACTATAACAATAGAAATCGGACTAGCTATGATCGTTCATCTAGAAATGATTATAGGTGTGTACCATGTTTACATGGCATACTTCATTGGTGAACGCAAATTGCTAAATAAATTTTATTTTCTTTTGTTTAGTCGTTTTTATTTATCACTAAAAGTGAAGTGACAATAGCATCACTTTTAGTGGTGAGCAAATTGACTGAATTAAAGGAAAAAGATTTGGTTAAGGCGTAGATTGAGCTTCAATATATTCGTTATTTTCTTGAACATTTTTTGCGTATTTTATCTTTTAATGATGAACGTTTAAATTAATTATCATTGTTTTCAATACTTTATATTTCATTTTTGTTTCATGTGAGTAAATTCAAGAAATGATGATTCGTTAGTAATCTGCTAGCAGCATATATTTGTATTAATTTTGATAGGAAGTAAATCTTCAGGAGGTGATGAAGCATCATTTTCATGTCCATTTCTCTTAATATTACCTATGGAATATAGAGAACGAAGAAAATTTTTATGGATTTGTTACATGTGCTTTTCTATAGTATTTTGCAAACGTTCAGTATTTGTAGTTCATCACGATCTCCTGCACACAGTCAGCGTCGTTCTTCACATGAGCGTTCAGGAAGTGTGGCTAGTCGCCGTAGAAGTCATTCCAGTCAGAAATCTCGCCTCTCCCGTGCATCATCATATTCTGCACCACCTCATGAACATTCTGTTTCACCACATCCACCACCTTCATCACCACATATTAAACGAGAGGTCAAGCTTCAATTTTTTTAGTTAAGAAGTCTAGAAGGGCCATTTCAAGTAGTTTGGTGATCAAAATCAAAATGGATATGTTTTTTTTTTTTGCATTGGAGATATTGGGGAATAGAAACACTTGGTAAATAAATATGCTTTTTTTGTTATTTAATTGTGTTATTGAAATTTTAGGCCATTGAGAAAGGGGAGACACCACCTCTTCCACCATCCTCTCCTCCACTAGCTGAAAAAGCTGATAATGACCCGAAGAAGGTTAGATTGTAGAAGATTTTTTTTGTACAAGTGTTAGACGTTTTGAATATTTATAGATATGAAGTATATAATTCTAATGAATTATGAAGTATGCTTTTTTAAACTGCAAATATCAATATCAGGGTACTGCAATTTTGCTTTGTAAGTCTCGTTGAATATTCGGAAATTTTTAGGCTTTTTCATCACATCCTTTGCAGAATGACTCACAGTCTCCTGTTGAGCGTAAATCGCGTAAATCGCGAAAAAGCAAAAAAAGACGTAAACGTCGGAGTCCATCTTCGAGTTCGTCTGATACAGCAAATCATAGTTCTGATGAACTTAGCGAAAGTGAGCTTCGTAAGAAAATTTTGAAGAAGCGAAAGGAAGCTCAGAAAAACAACGAAGAAAGTAAGCTTACATGTTCTTATTTAAAAGTCTTTTGATTTCTTCCCTTTCAAACTTCGGTGTGCATTCATGACACTCAAAGTTCTCTGTAAATTCATGATATGACCCATCTTTAGCAATTTATGTGATTTAATTGCTTTCATCATCTTAGTTGTTCCGGTGAGTGATCATCAATGCCATTTACTCATATTTTATTGTAATTTAGGCTTCAAACCGATTGTGAAGCCAACATTAGGAAAGTGGGAAGAACAAGAACCGGAAACAACGATTTTACAAAATACAACACTGAAGTTTGGCTTGGAAAGTTCGGTGAGTATTAACATTTTTTTAGTACTTGAATTTAGTAATGTTACTTTTCCAGGTTACTTTAAAGTGCATTCCTCTTTGTTGAGTGAAATTATTTTTTTAAATTTTATAATTTTTGTTGCAGTGGAATCATCCAAGTATGTTTGACTTTTGATGTTTATTGTAGGAAGATATACCGAAAAGAGTATTTCGTGAACCGCTTCATGCTACTAAAAATATGACGCAACAAAATATTAACAAACCTGATGGAATGGTGACTTTCTCATTTCCTTCTAGTAATGTGTGGATATTGACTAATTTTTTTAAACTTCTTCTTCCGATCAGGCCATAACGCCTTTAAGTATTAGAAAAGATCGTTATTAAAGTGGTTGGTTTATTGTTTTTAAATATATTTAATGTATTACAATACGTTTTTCCCATTGTAAGGAATCACATCAGTACTCTTCCATCGTACCTACAGCAGAAATGGAAAATCCGCTTCTGTGCAATAAGAAAGGAGCAAAGGAACCAGGTAATGTTTTTGACTCAGATTTATTCTCGATCTTTTACTGATTTCTGTGTAGGTCGTTAAGATTATTTGTTTGACTATGTGGCGTATTTAGGAAAAGAAACAGATTTATTGAAAACTGAAGGATTGTCAACAAGTACCTTATTTGCTACAGATATTGACACTTTACTAGGAAAGCGTGTACTATCTGTCCCAACAAATGATCTTAAAAATGCACAGGTTTTTATTTTAATCATTTTCAAAACACAGTTTCAAATTTGGTGTAGTTGCATATTTCAATTGTGTTATTAATTCTTTTCTTTTCAAATTATTTCCTTGAACCTTTTACATTCTGTTCCTTGCATCATGGCAGTCAAGATCAAAAGCAACGAAATAGTATTTGGTTGTTATTATCGGCTTGATAGCTTTTAAATGACACCTGAAGACAAGTTATGTGCTGCATTTTGAAGAATTATAATTTGTGCATGATAAGGCACAGGAACATAAAACATGACTTATCTACAATAAAATGCTAGAAGTTTTTAGACGAGTAAAATATAATTAAAGAGTTTTAGCTAGTTTATATTGAGTATAAAAATCATCTTCCTGATAGATTACCGTTTTGTAAAATGAATTTTCTCTTGAATATTTTGTTGTTGCAAACTTTTATAAGATTGGAAAGGGTAAACGAATATGACTTTGTCTTGCAAAGTGTGTGCTGCACGTGACTAAAACGTTCTGGTGTACATTGATATTGAGTGTGATCTATGGGACTGTTAATTTATTCATATATCAGTTATCATGATGGGGCTTGTGAATCAAGAAATTCATTGCAAAACTTAAATATAGATATCAAAATGATTTGTTAATCGATTTACAACATGAAAGTTCACTGAATGATTAGATTTTAAAATTATTTCATGATATAGTAATAGACTGAATACCTAAATAAGGTATAAATAGATTTCTGATGATGATTTGTACCTGTAGAATCCTCGATGCAGCTACGGAGAATTAACGTTGTGGATATATTTGCTCTCTCTATAATCGATATCTGCCTCTTTCATAAACAAAATTTCCCTTTATATGGTTAAGGCATCATTCTACAGCTAAAAAATTTGTACTCACTTCATAGTAACCATTACAGACTAATGTATTCAATGCGGCAGTGGGACAGCAGTCACTGAATTTATTTTTTGATGATAATGATGAAACGCCACAGTCTGTTCATGGAGGTCAGCTTGCTTCAATGTATTCATTACTCTGTGTGTTTCCCGTGTTACTCAGAGTAGTTTTCATGTTATGCTAATGCTAGTTTCAAATATATTTATTATTTCTTAACTTAGATACAAACACCGAAATTTGATCATATGATATATAAAGTAATTAATATAACCTAAGAATATGCAAGTTTTCAAATTACTCGTTTGAATAGATGTTCAGTAAATGCTTCCGTAATCGAGATAGATTTTTCTAGTTCTACGATTAAGTTCTCTAACGCGTCAGCTGAATGCAGAGACAGAACGTGAACGAAAACTTGCTTGCTTACCACCAGAATTACTCGCAAAATACAAGACGAAGAAAAAACAACTTGAAGGGGTTATTTTTGTCATTGTATATTGAGTGCAATTTATTTGGTCTCGCAGGTTTTCCGATCTTGAGAATTTTTACTCTTCATCATGTTTCCATATCTCTTCAGGCCTTTTATACTTATCATTCTGCACTGTTTAATGAAAATACTATTTGATTTATTAGGTTTTTTAGTTTAAAGGTTTTCTTTAAATCTTTTAAGGAATATTTTCTTGGACGTTGCTGTTTATGTTTTAATAACAGTTAACGGTGCATTGGTATCATTAGGTTATATAATTATATTTCATATTTAATTTTACTCTAGAATTTCCAAACTACATTTTTACAGATATTTAAAGCGGATTGTGAAACTTTTGGTGTTGTAACAAAAATGCTGATTGAAAAAGATCCTGAACTAGAAGAGCGTCTTCGGTTAGCGCTTGCTGAAGCAATAAAAGATATGGAAGAAGCATTTACCCGGAAAATGGACAGCTATATTGATCAATTAATAATGTTTATTTCTATTTAGTCTTGTGTTTTGTTAAGTTTAATCATTTCTACTTTTCTAGTGGAATTTATAATAATTATATTAGTCACTTCACGTCCGAATTTTTTTCTATCAGTGTTCTGTAGTTCATTGCTTTGCATAGAATATTTTGCTGAAATTTCTAAGATTTGATTTGTAATATTTTCGTTATTTATGCTAAAAAAAATCATATACTTGTGAATTATTCTCTTATGCATTGATCACGCTAAATAGAATTTCGATAAGTAGAACTTTGTCATATACTATTCTTAGCTTCAAAATAGTTAAGACAAAATTGAAGAGTAAAGCTTTTTCATAAGTAATATTATTCTTCTGCTTGTCTTTACGACGAAAAAGTCGCCGAGAAACATTTTTGATACTTTTACTTACAGTCTCTCTTTTCTCAAGGGAAGTATGATTTGCATATTTCGGACGGTTCATACTGCAATATTATGCATCAAAGTATGTCTTTTGCAAGCGAAGTCCAGTTTTTCACCATTTTTCACATTGGAATTCGGAACATCCATACATTCAATCAACAAGCGAACAAGACTTGCTTTTCGTCATTCCATTTTGCTTCATTGTTGTATTAAAATTTCAGAAAGAGTCATAACGTGGTTGTAAGAATAATACATGGAGGTTGCCGATTCTGAAGACTTGACTGGTACATTTTTAATATCTAGTGGGTCGTCATGATCTAGTGAATTGCAGAGACCTGTGATGTATTGATCTGCTAGATGAGTCAAGATTGAATAGTGGATGATTTTAGTCTTTATATTATGAACAACTGGATCTGTTTTGTTTTTTTACTGCATTTATGCTTTTAAAAAATTAGGTCACTTATTTTCGCATTAGATTTGAGGCTACCAGGAGTAATAGTTCATTAAAATCAAACTAATAAATGTATCGTTGGGGCTATTTGTTAAAAAGATCTAATTTTCATAGTTCTGATTTAGAGAGAAATGAGTTGGAAAAGTTATTCGAAGTTTACTGCACAAGCGTTATGAATCGTCTTGAAAGGCAAGAAATCACTCTTTGGGTCTGTTAAAACTTTTTAAAGTCATTGCTATCTCAATTATTTAAAGAATTTAAAAATTGCTTTTGAAGGGTTTAGTTAAAATTTTGTATAATCAATGTATGGATTAAATAGATATATTTTGCAGACTACCATCGATTTGTTCCGATTGGGAATTAAATATAATCTTAAAGATACAATCTATAAAACTTTCAAAAAGATCACTGCTCGTTGGATGTGTGTAACATTAGAAAATATCATGCAAAGCAAAGGATTGTATGGACTGCGTCGCGATTTTAATATTAGAGAAATGTGAATTTTTATTTTATTATCTTACATATTCGAATATATTATTTAGAGGTGGTTACATTTGCAGTATCAGGAATAATTCCTTGAATATATTTATATTAGAGTTATTATTTGTGCAACTTTAGTGACATATTGTTAGGAATATGTAATACTTTTTCTGAATTTTTTTTCAAAAACATATTGATCAATCAGACATTTCAAAAAAATCATGTTACAATAATTCATATTGAATGTATAATTTTGCCATAATCAACTATAGTGTTGAAAATATGAAAAATTATAGATGAATAATGCTCTCTACTGCAATTTCCATAACTTTCATGAAAAAATAAAGCTGAATTGCCGACTGCTGTGTAATATATGTGAGTTTAATTTAAATAAAAAAATGACAGATTTTTAGGTGCATGGAATTGGATGATATTGAATGTTGTTTTGATTATGCGAGATGGTTGGAAGAATTCATGTCACCTTTTTTTCGGTTATTTTAATATTTTTTATAAACTATCTCAAATATTTTAGCTTTAAAAATGTAGTGACTTAATATATTATTCTGTTAATTTTTAGTTTGCAAATTTGCCTTATGAAATTTTTAAAAAAATTTGTCAATTAAGGAAAAAATACTTGCAGTTTTTAACATGCTAATTCTTAGAATATGTTTGTTCTTCAGTGTGCACTACTTGTCACAGAAGAAATAAAGCACTTTCAGAAAATTCGAGATTTATTGAGGGATTCTTTTAATAGAAGTGCAGCCATTTGCAGGCATCGCTTTCAAGCTGAAAATAAACTTATTAATTTTTCTTGCTTTCACTGCAAGTCCAAGCTTTATATGAATTAAGTAGTTAGCTTTATGTTCAGGATATAAATTCAACGTTTATGTTGCGTATTACGTAATGTAAACCGAAGCTCCCAGTAAGTATTTAGACAAACTTGCATTCTTTAAACTCTGTTCTTTAATTTAGAGCAAAGGATCCTGGCCATCGGGACTTGTGGGGGCATGATTTCAAGCAACACATAATATTGATGAGAGAAGCAGTTCTAAATGGAGATTGGACAAAATTAGGCTACTTTTTAGGTTGCTATTGTTAATGACTAATTTTAATGAAATAAATTACTAAAATTTGTATTTTTAAAATTTAAAGTATTCCTTGAAATTTTATTTGAAAAATACTCATTCTCGAGATGTAATTTGAGGTGATTATTGTAGTTCTGATTAATAATATTTCTCTTTTGTTACTTCTTCTTTTCAAACGTATAAGTCGATGCAAATATATGTTAAAATTGCACTGCATATTACACAAAATGAATGTATTATACTTTTGTTGCTACATATATTTTTAGTATGCTTCAAAATGTAGCTTTAAAAGGCTCTCAGTTTTTAACTCTAATTACTCATTTCAATTATCTCTGATTTCTGCACTTTTAGGTCTCATACCATCTTTACGTCAAAATATAGATGTTGTGCCACGAGAACATCGTAGCCAGGTTATATGCATAACAGATAAAAACCGCCGCAGGTTATTTCCATTTGCAATAACAGTATTTCGTACAGGAGTTGAACGCTTTATGCAGTTCAATATCTCACGCGAATTGATAACGAAATTAGCTACACAATTTATGCTTATTTTAATTGCTGGCGAACAAATATTTGCTGTAGGTTTGATTGTATTAGTTTTGTTTCTTCAATACCTTTTACTTAAAAAAGTTTTTAAAATGAAAAATTAAAGGGTATGATTTTATTTGCTGCAATATTTAATTTTAAATTTAAAAAAATCATGGTTTTTATATGTTGCAGACCGCACAATATGATTCTGAAAACAATTCATTAATTTATATATCTGAGTTACTTATGTATGCTATTGCAAACGGTCAGAAACAAGAAATGATAGATTTGAATAATACAACTTCGTCTTTACCATGCCTTGCTTATAAAAATAAGGTTTATTTTTACTTATTCATATTTATTTCATTGAACTGTATTCATTAGAAAATGCTCAAGAATAGGTGAAGCATTTTAAACTCATGAATTTTTATTATTTCTATGACACGTAAATTTTTCAAATTTATCATTTTTTATAATTTCTAGTTTATTCATTGAAGATTTTAGTGCACTACAGTTCTTCGTGTTTACAATTTATTATCTCGTTATGAATATTGGCGCCTATTGCGTATTGAAGCATTGCAAAGGGGTCATGTTCCAGTAGAATCGTCTTCTTTAGCAGATGAATTCATTACATCTCTAATGGTAAAATTCGTATATCCTATTTGCAAGAAATACACTGCTTAGGGAGTATATAGAAAAGAAAGCTATCATTTCGGAAATAATGTCTTTCTCATTATAAGTGATATCAGTATGTTTATGAATGTCTTGTATGAAATCAGTATGTTTAGTATGAAATCATGAACTATAGTCACAAAAAGTTTGTTGACTTTAATAAATGATTTTTAAATTGTGAATAATTGATTTTCTAAATATGCTGTTAATTCGTAAATATCTATTCGATTTACTGTTGGGTTTTAAATTGTGAAAATCCTTCATTAATTGAATTTGTTTACTAATGATCCTTTACTTTTAGGATGTGCCATCAGGACAAGAAAGTGTTCTGATTTTCGCATCAGTGCATTATATGACTTGTATTGGAAAGCTTAACGATTTGATAGATACTTTGATACAGTGTTGTCGTAGAACACCATATGCCATTGTCGATTGCTATCGGGCTTTGCAGTTAAATGGGATGGCTGACGAAGCTAAACATTTGCTTGAAACGGTAAGTTTAATCTTCTTTGTTTATGCCTATGTTCTGATGTGAAGTAGCTATTAATTTAGTAGCCACATTTTCATTTGTAATACAAAATCTTTGGCTTGTTTGGCTAAAGATAGGGAAGCTTAGGTTTTTTGATTTTAAAAATGATCAGTTCTGCCTGTAGTCGAGCTTTTTTCCCTTTTACGTCAGATTTTGCCGCAAAACAACGTTGTACTTCATCCGATCTTGTTTACTTGGTTGCAACCACGACTTTCAAATCTTATGGAATGTGATATGACAGAAGAAATGCTTTTTTATATTTGCCAACTTCTCTTCATGTTCTTAGATTACGGAGAAAATAGGTTTGTTTCTTTTTAATAGAATATCTATTAAGTACTTGATATTATTTTTTATAGACACCTTTGATTATTTCAGCCTTTTATTTAATGTTACTTTTAGGCTAGTTCTGACTACATATTATAATTTGTTCATTATACGTTGTTGATTTTATAAATCGCATCTTGATGTATCAAAATTTCAGAGGAAATGATTGTGCATGGGTTTGTTTATGGACATCTATTCAACACGTCGAAAAAGTAAGTTTTTTATCTTCACAGTGGGCTCCACGGAAATTGTGGTGGCCAAAATTTCATTCTGTTAAATTATCTGAAGCGGGGACTAAATCTCGAGATTTGGTCTTTGAAAGGTTACGATCTATCAAATGTAATGATTAGTTTCTCATGAAATATATGGTATTATTATTATTATAAGTGTTTTAAAATGTATTTGCTATTTGACCATGTTACATTAGTTTGACTGGAGGCTCTTTCGTGTTTCCAAATACTGTACCAGGGTTTTCTGTTACATTCTGTCTTTGTGTAGCTCCTTCTGTGTAAATTTTATAAAATTGAAATAGAAAGCATTTTCATTATTTAGTTATTGATTCATTCACTTTCTTAATTAATAATACTCAATATAAAATCTCAAGCTGAGCGTTGATTTTTATTTTTATAAAAAATTTAACCAAAGAAAAAACAATGAAAATTCTGCTGCTAACAAAAACGGTATAATTTATACAGTATTTGGGATGAATGTATGTACTTGTCCGATGGCAATTTTGTTTAGTTGGTTCGAATTTTCCCCGTTTTTATTTTTTGATCTCTTTATTTTAAACCATGTTGTTCATCTTTTTCATTGTTACTTTTTGTCATTTTGATTGATTGCTGAAGATTTACCTTTTTTAACAAGTTGAATTTGAATTGTTTAAATTTTAAATATCACAAAAAAGATAAATTTTGTTTGCATTTGCATTATTATTTTAACATGGCACTCGAAATATATGATTAAATATAGTATTTAATTTAACCTCAAATTCTCTTTACTTACATCGATGTCATCTTGCGTTGCATCGATATCCTGAAAAAAATTGAGACACAATTTGAAAATCACTCATTTTAGCTGGATATTTGTAAAGTACTGATAATTGTTTGATCAATTCTGTATTTGATCACTGGATTTGTAGTTAGCATCATTTTCAACTTTGCAAATAAAGTAGATAAATAATTTGTAGTAATAACATTTTTACTTTCTACATTATCAAATGGATCATATGCTTTCTATACTTTATTTTTAGTAAAAAATGATATCACAGTCGCGAAATAATTTAACATTGCACTGTAGATTCAGTATCAGTTTTATGAATGATGAGGCTTAAAGGTATAGCTTTAATACTAGACTTAGCAGTAATCTAGTGAAGTATATAATTAACTCTTATAGTTTTAATATGTCTAAAGTTCATTTCTAAATTTAATATTTCTAAAAATTACCCGTAGAAAAGAGTTTATTAAAACTTTAGGTAGTAAAATATTTCAGGATATATTGCTATGCTTTATTTTTTCCTTTTTTGAAGTTAAAAGAGAATGTAAAATAAAATTTGAGGGGACTCGATTTGAAGAAATTCGTTTGATTCTATACAGATTATCTTCCACTTACTACTGATTACATACGGTAGTAGATGAAATTATTGTAACAAATATGGTATTAATAATTCAAAATATATACGACAATTTTTGTTAGATACTTATATTGTCGGCATTTGCTGAATATTATTTGATAAACTTGGTGAAATTTAAAGGTGAAAGTTGAAAATGTTACCAGTTCGTCTTCTAAACCTTCTATCTGAAATTTTTCATTATTTACTTATATTGACGGCATGCTTAAAAACTAATAATAATCAACTTTTGTCAGTCAGTTATTCCAAACATTTGTTTTTGGAGCTTTACTTTTTATTTATTAATAAATTTTTCAACAACAAAAAATTACCTGGTCAAACCACCAATTAGTACTTTCAGCAGGATCATGTGTCCTAATTCTTATTCGTGATAAGAAAATCCATATCTGATGAACATGATCGATTACTATTTTTAGCTTGTGATTAACTGATTGATTTAATTGGTATTCAAATTTATGATAATTAGAGTCCGATCATTCAAATAGCTACCAAAAATTATTGACTAACCACCAGTAACATTCATTTTTGTCATCTAAGATTTTTTTGCTGCAAAAATTTAAGGCATAAATATTTAAAATAAGAAGTTGAGTTCATTTAATTAGTTTCATAGAAATATTAAAATATCTAAATGAAAAATATAAATTCAGAAAATAAAATTAAAACTTGCAACCTGAATTGATAATATCGAAATGAAATATACGCCCATAAATAAACTACAGAATAGCAAAAAATTGCCACTGTATTTCATTTTTTTTTTAATGTTTTTCGGTTTTTCAATGTCTGTAATGATTAATTTTCGAGTTTTGGTGGTGCCTTCTGATTTCATTTCAGTCATGCTTGAACTATGGAAATGAGCTTCTGAACTGAGCATTAGATGCATGAGATCGTCTGCAAAAATATTCGCAAGAATCATTTTAAGCCACAAAATTTGATTCTTTTTTGTTCCGTTAATTACTACAGGATTTAAGAATACTTCATTTTCTGACAGAACTAAGTATAAGTAAAATACTTTCTATGGAAAATTTTCTCTATCAATTGCTTTTATAAAAAATATTAAAATATGCAATGCATTAGATGGATTTAGCGTATTAGAAACGTGTAATATTTAGCTTATCATTCACGCAGTCAAAAATTTTAGCTTTTATTTTGTAAGCATAATAAAATTGATAGAATTTCGCTTATGATTCTTAGTGCATTCACTGCTTGGAACCTGAATTATTCAAAATTTTTATATTTTTATGATAGTACAAAAGATTAACTGTATTGTCTTGACAAGATATTATAACACATTATGAATAATGTATTATTGTAAGAGACTAACTTGTATCATGAGTTGATTCTGGATTGCTGCCACTATCATTATTTTTGGTGCTGATGGTACTGTTGCTATTCCATGTGCCTAAATTTTCATATTTTGAATTTTATAAAAATTTGATTCAATAAAATAATATAGCTAAGATGAAATAAAGCTCAAAAAGAGTTTTCCATACTTTTAGATTTGGAATATGACACTGTAAAATAACTTTACATATTCTGGCAATTTTAAATTTTTTAATATTTGCAAAGATTTAATACTCCAAATTTAGGTGATTGAAACAATATTAGTGAAAGTACGAAGAAATAATTGTTTTATCTTAATCGCCAAAATCTTTATTTGATAATTCATGAAATGATTCAAAAATGTAAGCGTAATGAAAAAACGAATCCTGAAGTAATTTCAGTCCAATTTATTCTGTTATCATTTATAAACTGATTTAAATAAAAAGTATTGCAGCATAATTCATGCAAAAATCTTAAAATTCAAACTTGGATTACTGGAATTGGTAGAATTACTCCATACCAATTTCACACTTTGAATTTCTGAAAAAACATTCATTATCATTAATTTTATAAAAATTTCTTTTTTTTAAAGTAAACATTTCGTAAACTGTTGAACGAGTATTATAATTTCACGTTTATTTTGCGTTGACAATATTCGAGTTGTAATGAGTGAATTTTTTTTTTTAATGCTTGTTTACTTGTAAAATGTGTACAAATTGGAAATTTTAAATATTTAAAAGATAGTTAAACTTAAAAGGGAAAGTTAAATTTTAAATGACTACTGCTAACTATTGCAAATATATTGTAAAAAAATATCTTATAATTTTTGTCAACAAATTTGAACTAAAAGAATTAAGTGCATTTTAAAGTAAAACACTGAATTAGAGTATTTAATTATTACAATAAAGTTTTCAATAATAATTTTTGTTCTGCTAAGTCTGATCTACTTCAAGTTTTTATGCTAGATTGGATCAAACATTTTTAGCTTTTAACAAATTTTCAAGCTTTACTCTGCAATTCATTGAAAATTTTTAAATACTTGAGCGGTTTAGTATTTCAAATATATTCTCATTTTTCTTCAATACGAGCTGTATCATAAGTATTCAAATGATTTTAATAATAATAATTAAGCATTCATTCCAGAAATAATAAAATACATAAGTGTTATATATATATATATATATAATGTCATGAAAATTTGTCTTTAAAACTAGAAATAAATTCTGTAAATTAGCAGTAGATATTTTTAAAATAACTGTGTTTAATTCAAAATTACCTGAAACATTTCCGTTAATAGCAGTAGTACCATAAATGGTGCTAAGGAAAAAGCCAAAGATGACAAGACCGAAAACATAGAAATATGTAAAACTGTAAGAATTATCAATTTGGATAAATTTGCAGAAAATTTGCATAATTGCAGAGAAAGTAGAATAGAGCGAAGATGTTTTACTGATGCATTGAAATAAAAATACGTGAAGTAGGTTTAAATACAAATCTACCGGATTCAATTAATTCATTTTTTGAATATACTTTGATTTTTTAACTTTCAATGCATTTTGGCATTAACTTTTCTTTTTGAAATTTTTGGTTTTTTACATTTAAATTACTTGTAAACTATTTTCATTTTATTTAATTCATTATTAGAGACACTTTTTTAAATTTTATTAATATTTCTTAGATCTTTTTAATTTTTTTGTTTTGCTAAGTCTAATCTATCTGTCTATGTCAAGTTTTTGTGGTAGATTGAATCAAAAATTTAACGTTTAATAAATTTTCAGGCCTCACTCTGCAAAATTTTTAAATACTTAGGTGGTCCAGTATTTCTCAAATATATTCTCTCTTTTCTTACGGTTATATTCTCAACTGATGTGTGCTATTTTACTTTCTTACGTAAAACTATTACGTTGATAAAGTCAACTTTTAACTTCGCTATTAATAACTTTTTAATTATCAATAATAGTTTAGTCACAAATCAGAAAATTTACATTTCATTTTATTTCGAAAATTTCAAACTTTATAAATTGTTAAAATATAAATAAAAGTAGAATTTTATCAAAAATAAAATCGTTTAAAGTGGAATTAAAATTTAATTAGAAAATTCTCTGCGTGTATATATGCGTGAGTGTGCGTGTGTGTGCGTGTGTGTGCGTGTGTGTGCGTGTGTGTGCATGTGTGTGCGTGTGTGTGCGTGTGTGTGCGTGTGTGTGCATGTGTGTGCATGTGTATGCGAGTATGTATTGACTTTTTTGAGGCAAATAATGGACGAAAAAATTTCAACTATATACTACAATCACAATTTTTTTAATTAAATAATAATTTAAACTGATTATTTGTTTTTGTCAAATAATGAATGATTTCAATACTTTGTTTGCTTAGTGATCATTCAAAAAAGCGTAAGTCATT